TATTCCTAAACATTTTATTTTTTATGCTGCTGTAAAATGGCATTAAAATTTTTAGAAATTTTTAATGTTTATTGCTAGCATACACAGGTGATTTCTATAGCTTGCGTAGTGATGTTAAATTATTTATTAATTTTAATAATTTTTCAATCAATTTTTTTGAATTATTTATTATGTAATTCTGTAGTCTGTGAATGATGATAGTTTTATTTCTTTCTTTCCAATCTGTATACTTTGGTTTTTCTAAGCTTATTGTACCAGCTTGGACCTCCAGTACAATATTGAATACTAGTGGTGAAAGTAGACATCTTTGTCTTGTTGCTGAATCCAGGAAGAAGCATGTAATGTTTTGCCATCAAGTATACCGTATGCTTTAGAGCATCCTTTATTCTCAGTTTCCTGAGAATTTTTATTTTTATCAAGAATAGATACTGAACTTTATCAAATGGTTTTTCTTATGCTTATTAAGATGATTATATATATGATTTTTCCCCTCTGTTCTATTAACATAGTGAATTATATTGATTTTTGAATGTTAAATCAACCTTACATTCCTGGAATATAGCCATTATATATTATCTTTTTAAATATATTGATGGATTTAATCTATTAAAGTCTTGTTTAGAATTTTTGTATCTATACTCATACATAAGATTGGTCTGCGATTTTTCTTTCTTGAAATGTCATTCTCAGATGTTGGTACCACCTGGTGAAACCCTACATCTCTTATTATTCCAGAAGAACATAGAAAAATTCAAAGTAAAAGGATGGAAAAAGATACACTGTGCAAACCGAAGACTGGTGTGTGTATACCAATTGCATACAAAAAAGGCTTTAGTCAAGAAGTATTACTAGATAGATTCTGCTGAAAAGATTAATAAAATTAATAACTCTCTAGCTAGATTAATACAGTAAAAAAAAGAGAAAACAAATTTTCATTATGACAAAAGATCTATTTAATAGGAAGATTCTCAATTGTATGAACTTAATAACAGCTTCAAAATACGTAAAGTAAAATTTGACAGACTAAAAAGAGAAATAGACAAATGGATAATTGTAAATAAGGATTTTAATATAACTCAGTAACTGATAAAACAAGTAGACCAAAAAAAATCATTAAGAAAACAGAAGCTTGAACAATATGATTAGACAACTTGACCTAACTGAACATTGCAACAAACAACTTCGGAACATATTTTCTTCAAGTTCTGAAGAACATGAACATTTACTAAATAACACATGTTGGGCTATAAGGTAAAGAGACATCATTATAGCTTCTACAGACATTAAAAGAAAAGAGTATATTATGAACAATTTTATGCCAACAAATTTGACAATTTGGAAGCCTGATTTTTATATATGGAGTAACATGGTCAGACTTTCATGTCAGAAAGATTACTCTGGCTACAGTGTGGAGAATGGGTTAGATGGGGGCAAGACCAGAGGCAGTGAGGATGTCAGGAGCCTACTGCAACAACTAGGCAAAGATAACGATGACCTAGATTAGGAAGCGGTGGTAGGGAGACTGAAGAAGAGATCCAATGAAAAAGCAATTAAGAAAGGAAAGATGACGGTCAGTGACTATATGCCATTGCAAACTGTTCATTCAAAAATGTTTATTGAGTACCTACTATATGCCAGGCACTATTGGGAATAGTCAGTGAGACAGATATGGTCCCTGCCTTAGTGATGAAGCTTACTTATGATTGCCATCAGAGCCAGAAATTGTATCTAAGAGTTTTAACTCCAGCTCCAAGCCGGTGTGCTTTCCGCCAGATGCAGCAGTTCAGGCTGCCTCTCTGTTACATGATTTGCTTTCTTGCATCTGATACCAGCATAACTATCTTTGTATCTGCCTTTTTGAGCCACCACAATGGCTGTATTCTTCCAGGCAGCATTTAATTGATTTTAAAATTTTATAAGATTAAGCTGAATCCTCATAAATTTTTTTGGTTTGGCTCAAAGTTACATAAACTAGGAGCTGACTATTCCAAAAAATCAACGTGCTTTCCTTTTAAAACGGAGCTGGGTTCTTCGTCACAGCGACATTTGCAATCTGCTCGGCATTAGCACCTTCTTCCTGGGATAGGGCAGGCCGAAGTTTGGTGAAAATAGCTTCTTCAAGCCACTTCAATCACCTTTGTCAAAGCAAAGGATGTGGGAAGCCTGGTTTCATCTGGTGTGCCTTTAGTTCCTGCTCTGCACTACAGAACTAAGAACTGTAAGTTTCTCCTAGAAACTGTAGAACATTGGAGCCGAAAGAAATTGCAAAAAAAAAAAAAAAAAAACCCACACATTTAATCCAACCCACACATTTTAGAGAGGAAGAATAAAAGCTCAGAGAAGTAGAATGACTTGCAAAGTCACCCAGCTCCTTTTTTATAGAGCCAGGACTAGAATCCAGATCTTTCCAGCATCTTTCCTAGCACATCTGTATCACAGCATCAAGAGCCAGGGATCTATTCTTACCTGCTTTATATTTTAAAAAATGAAACTTTAGTTTTTGCTCCAAACAACCATTTCTAGTTCAAATCCCCTTCTCTAGTCACATCCTGTGTTGGCTCTTCACCATCCTCTGCCTGAAGGGAGGCCAGAATCTGTGCAATGCAAAGCAGATGAAGCAGGTACAGTTGGGGGGTGATTTCAAAGACCTAGGGAAGGGCCTTCTTCCCAGTTGCTTTTAGGTACCTAAACTCTCTAAATGACAAAAACTTTTTGCTATACAAGGATATCTCAGGCCCATGATGCAAATTTCTCAGGAAGAAAAATGTAATGGCTTCTATTGTTACCGAATAGCAAATAATTAACACTGGATCCCTTCCTGGAAGCATTTTTTCATAGAATGGAAGATAATGCAAAAGAGCACTAAGATCCTTAGGAAAGCTAGAGAGTTCACTGTACTAGAAAAGAGGAATAGAGGGTGTATGTGTGCATGCTTGCACGCGGGTGTCATGGGGGTGGAAGAAGTAGGAGCTTCCAAGGACAGACTTCGTCTACAGTGACAGGTCTTCATCACAGCTTGGTCCTGACTTTGACTCTGGTCAGTCTGAGGTGCCTGCATCCTAATCCTGAGCCAACATGCCTGAAATGCTTCCATCTCACGTGCCAGCAACAAGGAATATGAGGGAAAGTGTAAGCCAGTGAAAGCTTGGACTGCTTGCCACATAGCAGCCAATAAGTCAAGTGACAAGGTGTTAGGCAAGGAAAGCGACTTTATCTGGAAAGCCAGCAAACCAAAAAGATTGCAGACTAGCGTCCTAAAGAATCATTTTGGGAAAGAACAGAATTCAGTCTTCTTTTATACCAGGGCAAGGGGGAAACGGGAGGAGTTTGAGGTCAGGAGGGGGTTGATGACTGCAGACATCGGATGCCAGCAAAGGTCCGAAGGGGATGGTGAAACCTCTCTGCTTTTGGTCAACAAACTCTGGTTGTTGTGGTCCCAGTCACGGGTTCCTGTAAATCTTTTGATAAAGCATCATTATTTGTGTGCATACCTTCCTTATCTCCTTGGAGAGGTAGTTTCAAGCAAGAAGGTTGTTTCAGTAATTTCATAGCATATCTATGCTCAGGACAAAGCAGAAGTTGCTAACCCACATTTTATGAGAGTTGAGCAGGCTCGAGCAAGATGGAGTCAGAAAGACTGAGTGTTTTGTTCTATTACGAGGGGAACGTCTTCCAGCCAGTGAGCACACAGCCAGCTGTGCACCAGTGACGAATTCCAGACTAACAACAACTGAGCCTTGCGATTGGTTCTTTGTTATAGAAGATTCTCTGTGAGAGAAGGTTTAGGGGAGTGAAACTACTCTATATGATGCTATAATGGTGGATGCATGTTGTTATACATTTGTCAAAATCTGTGGAATGTGACCAAGAGTGATGCTTAATGTAAGCTATGGACTTTGGTGAGTATGATGCGTCACTGTAAGTCAGGGGTCCCCAACCCCCGGGCCATGGACCGGTACAGGTCTACAGCCTGTTAGGAACTGGGCTGCAGAGCAGGAGGTGAGCTGCAGGCAAGGGAACGAAGCTTTATCATTTGCAGCCACTCCCCAGCACTAGCATCACCACCTCAGCTCCACCTCAGATCATCAGGCATTAGATTCTCATAGGAACACCGGTCCCTGATTCCAAAAAAGTCTGGAACCACTGGTATAGGTTCATCAATTGTCACAAATGAACCACTCTGGTGAGGGATGTTGATAACGGAAGAGGTCGTGCATGTGTGGGGACAGGAAACATATGGGAAATCTCTGTACTTTCTGCTCAATTCTTCTGTTAACCTAAAATTGCTCTAAAAAGTAGTCTATTAAAAAATTTCTCAGTTCACAGGTGGCTGCTAGATTGGCTGGGAATTCCTACAGGAGGCACAGAGCAGAAGTAGCAGAGTGATGTACATGAGGCTTACATGGGATCCAGGAAACCTGGGCTCCGTTATTAGCTCTGGGGCCTTGACCAACATTTCCTCCACTATAAAATGAGGAGCATAGGCTTGAGGGCCCACAGCTGCATTCTAATTTTATGGTCTTCATTAAACATATTTTTCCGGGTTCCTTGAAACACTGTGCCTTGGAATAAAGGGATAACTAGGCACAAAGAAAGGATCTTGTTTTCTCAATTGAGACCCTCGGGGCTCCCTCTTGTTTTGTTGCCTGGGTCCAGAAGTATTACATGAGTCAGCCAAGGTTTTGTCCTTATCTGAGAAGGTCTCTGAGGTCTGGGCCCTACTCAGAGTAGGAGTTGAGGCTGCTCATTGGGCCTCCCACAAGCTGGCCTCTCCCCTACAAGGATCATTATCTTCCTGAGAGGAGCTTTAGCCGTGGGTCTGAGCCCAGGAACCTGATGGGGGTGAGGGGGAGGGAGGTTGTTGATATTCAGGCAAGAAGGTCATTTAGCCTCAGTCCTGTTTGGTTGTTCTTCTTTCCTTCCCTTCTCACTAGGGCTCCCCAGGACTCCATCCTTGGGTCAGCAAGAGCTTCAGAGATGTATTTATCTTTCTTTTGCAGCTCCTGGCAGAAAGTGATTCCACCCGAGGCAGATATTTTTAACATCAGCCAAGGCTCCCAAGCCTCTCACCTTCTGCCTGGACTACAGTTCCTGTCGGGTAAGCCCCAGCCCTAGTGCCCACCACGTTGGGACTTCAGGCCTGCATCTCTCATACTCCCTTTAAATGGCTAGTCTCACCTACCACACCTGTTTGGTAGAGGCAAGCGTTAAAGAGCTCTGGCAGCGTCTAAGCCTTTAATCAACAAAAACATTTGATGGAATTGAGCAAGTTTTCAAGGTTTCTCTCCTGTTTATGCAGCAAAACACTCTACCCCAGCCCTCCATTGCGGATTGCAGTCAGGCTTGGATGTCTCCATCCTAACTAGCTGCCTGCCACCTCCCTGCAGGGACAAGCCCACCCATTTAGAGCTCTTTGTAATTGGAGAAGTAACTTATTTCCCTTGGTCTCTTTCCATTCTACCCACTGCTCACATCTTTCTTTTCCTTCAAAGTGTTTTTATACTTTGTTTTCCTCTTTGGAGTTCAGCAACCTCCCCCTGACCCTTTCTGCATTGCCCAAAACACATACCTTATGGGCTGGCCCTGGGGATATATGAGGTGAGTGACATAGATTCAAGAAATTCAAGTTAGACTGGAGTATCACAAACCTCCCCTCCCACCACACACACACAGAACGCTTCTATCCTCCTGGGTTAGCGCTGGCAATTGCCTTTGCACAGTGGGCACTAGGCCAGTGATTACATCTTCAGATGAAGGGCTGCCCAGGTTCTCTCCTCTGCTCTCTGGAGAGTTTCCCGCAGAAGCAGAGAGCGGGGCTGAGGACAGGCTTCACAGTCTTGTCCGGGGTCTTTTCTGGGAATTTGTAGCTTGGCAGCTGAATGTTGAAAAGGATCTAATTACATGTGTCGACGTAAGAAACGTCCAAACCTGTAGAGAATTTTTATAAGAGTTCATTTGAGCCAAACTGATGACATATGCTGGGGAGCAAGATCTCAAATGCTCCAGAGAATAACAGTTTTGCAGTTTCTTTTATGCATTTGAAATTAAGGAGGGAACGTAAGGAAGATTACATGAAGGGTGGAAGAAAGCAAGGCCGGGATTGGATTGCAAACTAGTTAAGATTATACACTTTCATGCTTTAGAGGGAGGGGTCTGAAGGGGTTAGTTTCAGAGATGTTGACCTAGATGCATAGAAACCATGGACAGGGCTTGCTTGAGGCAAGGATGAGCCTTTTACTAAAGAAGCATTATGCCTGAGGCGTGACTACCCACCATGACTCGCCCAGTTAGGAATTTATGATCAGATCACACTGTGAGGTTACTTTCCATAGAACCCCTTTTTCTTCCTTGCACAGAAAAAAGCAAGGGCACTCAAAGTTGGGGGCAGTGTTTTGCTGTGCACATAAAAATCAGAAGAGCAATTCCATAGTAAGGAAGCACTTCCCTAACTGCAAGCTGGCTGGGCCCTGCCCTACTCCCTCTCTGTGCTGAGCAGCAGCTGGTGCCCAGGCCCTGCTGAGGGTGGCAGGCCTGTGGAATAGCTCTGAGTCCTAGATGAACCAGTGGAGAAGGGGCCCAGGGTTTCTGTTTGGTCACTTTATTCTCTAGTCCAGTCTGTGTCATGGGAAAGGCAAAGCCTGTGGCAAAAAGTCAGGAGATGAAAATGCATTCAGGAAGGAGTCCATAGAGAGGGGGGAGGTGTGTGTGTGTGTGTGTGTGTGTGTGTGTGTGTGTGTGTGTGTGTACTTGTAATGTTGGTAGTGTTAAAGTTAAACAACAAAATTCAAACTGAGTAAATTTGAAGATCTAATTGGCTTTAAGTGATTCATGAATCAGGCAGCATTCTATCTGGCAACTAGAAGGACATTCCAATGAGTTCTACAAAAGGGAAAGTTTTTATACACAGAAAGACGATGGAACTAGGAATATTAAAAAGTGGATTATTTCAGGCAAGAACACCTTCCCTAATGGGAAGGCAGGGGGACTTATCAGGCAAATTACTTCACTAATGTCAAGATCAGAAAATTCTAGGCTGGTTTAAAATCCCACTTCTGGGAGAGGCTGACACTGCAGTTAGGTTACTTATTAAGTTTTGGTTTGGTGACTGGCTTAGCACAAGTGACTCCATTTTGGCCTGTTCTTTTTTTAAACGGCAGCTTTTATTTTAGGGCAACATCCTCTCTGCTGTCTTCCGTCTCACACACTGACACGCCCATGAATGCCCACTCTCATATCCATTCCTTGCAAAGGAAACTGCTCTTTCAACTCTGTGTCAATCCAGTGGGGCTTTCTAGTGCCTCTAATTCAATATGTTATTCTTATGATCCAAGAGAAAAGGCTCTGATATACCCTCGAGAGCACGAGAGGATACAGAGAGCTTGCAGCAGCTTCCTCCTCTCCTATGTCCGCCCCTTCAGTGGCCTCCAAGGAGCCATGAAAGAGAAGAGGATGAGGCAGTTGGGGGAGCTGAGAGCTGGACCCAGAGTTCATCCTGGGGTCAGGCCAGGCAAGCTAAGTGGCTAGAGTTCTGCCTGGAAGGAGACGCTGAGTCAACAACCTAGAGCCAAGGTGAGAGGGTCAAGGAGAGAGGCTGTCTGGGAGAAGGACGGCTGTGACTGGTTTTGTTCTCAGAAGAAAGTCCTGCAGGCAGGTCATTTCTTCAAAAATGGCCTTCTGAGTTGCCATTGTCCACTGTTAGCCTCTATATGACATTCTGAATATCCCCTCCCCACCTCTGCCAGAGTCCAGCAAAATGGTTGTCAAGAAATCAATTATTTCCAACCTAGTACAAATTTAAGCTAATCTAATGTATTCCCAGGGTCATTTGCATTGTAAGCCTTAGCCCCGATTGCCAAATAAAAGCCATTTCACCTTATAAAGGACTAATACACACCAGCCCACAGACAGGAGAGTCATTTCAGGGACAGAAGTACTTTCTGGACTTTGGAACTTTAGTTTCCTTCCAACTTTAATCCTGCTCAGAAGAGGAATAGGCTTTGATCTCCCAAGTTGGAAAACTTTTCTCTACTTGTCTTTAATACTACCTAAAATTTTCACTATTGAGGTTAAAGCATTTCCCTGCAAAGCCACTTTTTCCTGAACTGTTAATTAGGACAGGGGTATTAAAGTGATTGGACAAGGGACAGTCATACTCATTTTCACATTGTAGGTGCATCCCAGACCTGGTCAGGGCACAGAACAAGCTTATTTCTATGTCCGGAAGAAGAAAGAAGATTAATGAGGTAGAAAGAGACTTTAAAGTCAGGGGACCTGAGTTCACTAATAGCAATATGGTCTCGAATAAATAATTTATCTTTAGTATCCTCCCCTGCAAAATGAAATGCCAGCTGTTTTCCCACAGAATCAAAAGAGAGTGTATATGTGATAGAACTTTTAAAATTGCAAGTCCTATAAAAATGTAAGTTATTGTAATATTTGAATTTACAAGACAACTAACTTCCTTTGGCTGATAAGTCCTTTCAAGGCACTGGGCCTGCAATTCAGGTTCCTGCCACTAGAGGGAGACAGCATTGCCTGGTAACCTGTGAAAACCAAGCATTGCTTCCTTCCTAAAGCACTTCAAGTTGATGTCCGGCAGAAGTTTCCTAGAGGATCCCATGCATGCTGGGACCCCCACCTTGGGTAACGGCCCCATCACAAGAAGTGTGAACTTCATTTGCTGTGCATCAGGACCTGGAACTAAGTCTGTTCTTCTTTTTAGAGATCTCCATCCCCTGAAAGTGCTAAAGGAGCTCAATAATAAATGTTTGTAGTAATCAAGTCTTAGACTCTGCCTGATGTCATTGTGATAAATTAAGTTCCCTCACAGCCTGAAAATGAGGCTGCAGGTTCCATCTTGCTCTTAGTTTCACATCAGAATGATGCATTGCTGTGTATTTCTTCCCGATTCTGTATTCGGTGACATCATGTTGGTGGCTTGAAATTTGCCATGATGGAGGTATTTATACCACAGAAATTAGCAATCACTACTAACCAGTGCCATTTTCTGACCTAGAGGTCTGGTTGGAAATATTTTTCAGCACGCCGTTACATGAAGTCATGTAGCAGGAAGGGATAAGCCAACCTGGAGGTGGTAGGTATGGACAGATGATTGGGGAAGGTGTAGCAGATGCCACTAGTTATTTGCTTTGACCTTAAATACAGCCACTGTTTTATTCATGGTGGTGATTTGCTCAGATTAAAAACCACATATCCTAGCCTCCCTGGGGTTTTGAGCCACATGACCCAGTTCTGGCCAGTGAAACAGAGCTAGAAATCTGCTAGGAGCAGGTTTGCTTCTTGACGTGGGCACCACCCCTTCCTTCTTAATTTGTGCTTCTTCTTTGTCCTGCCCGGAATGATAACTGGAGGTGGAATAGCTATCTTATTATACCATGGAGTGACATTTCAAGAACAGCCAAGCAGGGACAGAAGCTGCTAGGACATAGATGACACTGTGGAGCTGGCAGCCCCGTAAGCTGCCCACGTCTGGACTTCTTAGGTGAAAAATAACCTGTTTAGTTGAACTCCTCAGTTGGGTCTGTTTACATGCAGCCAAATGCAATCACTTACTAAGAAGGAAGATTTTCCTTAAATGATGTTTGTGCTGATTTGACGGGAAGAGGCAGGAACTAAATGTCAGCTAAATGGAGCATTTACTTTGTGCCAAGTAAGCAGGTTTGTGGTGTTGCAGAGTTCTCAGATTTGTGCCCCCTGAGCTCTTGATCTCTCACTGCCTGAAGTGCCTGGAATATGCCAAATGAAAGGGAAGGCCATGATGAGGTTGCTAAGGCAATCACGGTTTTCTTTTGTCCCTAGGGGTATTATCATTTCATGGATTAATTGGCAGTGGTAGTGGGCTCCCATAGGAGAGGCTGGAAGAATTCTGGCTGTAACCAGCCAGCACGGCACAGCAAGCAGCAAACTTTCTTCCTCCATCTCCCTATGCTCTACCACCAACAGCCTTCAAATCTTATTTCCAAATTCTCAGCCCCCAGGCAAACTAGCCCGCCTTTTCCTGCCTGCCACAAAGCTGCTTTCCTAGGGCGGGGCCTTTTGAATTCAAGTACAGAAAAGTCTCAAATTAAAAAAAAAAAAAAAAAAGCCTTCAACCATGGTTGCTAGGGTTTTGTATCCTACTTACCTAGCTTTCCAAGGAAAGAGACTCATCTCTATAGAAACTGTAACATCACAGGGGCTCCTACAGCAGCTCTGAGACAGGCTGCCTCTTTCAAAACAGGCTTCCTATCAGAATCTCTCACTAAGTGTGTGCCTGGGGACTGGGAAGAGAGGACCTTGGAGTCACTGGTGGCTTTAAATCAATAGTTTTAATATCTTGACAGCATTCCCACTCTCTCTCTCTCTCTCTCTTCCTCCCTCCCTCTCCCCCCTCCCTTTTCCTCTCATTTTATTACAAACAGATGGAGGAGGCAATTCTAATAATAAAGAACATGTCTCTGTATTTCCACTTACTTCTTAAGTTTCTACCATACCCACTCATACTGCATGCATACGCACACACACACACACACACTCACACTCACTCTGTTCCAGTTAGATAAGTGGCAGCTTAAAGGGGGCACGTTTGATGGAACACTCAGGGATCCTATCTTGTTTATTAGGACTCAAGGCTAACTCAGGCCCACATCTCAAAAAGCCTTTGAGTCAACCACAGGCAAGTTCATGCTGAGGTAGTTTGGGTTGTGGGAGACTTGCTTCCTGGTCTTATAGAGGAATGCAAGGTCATCTAGGCACAGTTATTATCCTCCTACACTAAAATACAAGTGGTCCTGGCCTTATAAAAAGGGTGATCATGTAGTTCATCATCCAAATCAGGACATCTATAAGAGGAGTTGTTAATAATTATACTGTGATAGTAGCCACACACCAGGAGTCTCTGGGCAAACTAGGACTTTGACCACTCCACATAATAACTTGGAAAATGTATGTTTACAAATATACACGTGAGAAAATGGCTTCCTGCACCCTGTTCCCCCACAAAGGCCCCACTGCTCCTAAAAATGGAGAAATTTGGAAAATTAGAAGCTTTCGAAGACCATCTGGGTTCAAAGGTGAGGAAAGGAATGACATTTTCAAGGATTAGAAGATAGATTTTCAAGAAGAAAGATCCTTGTATATATAATATTTCATATACGTGTATCAGAGGATAAATACCTACCAGCCACATATGAGAATCCCTGTTTCCACATACCTTTATTTACGTGTGTCTTCTTAAATCTTTTAATTTATTGTCTCTCCAGTGTTCTTTAGAACTAAATCATCTTTGTATATTTGGCCTCTCCTGCTCTGTTCACAGTCACTTCTGTCTCCTCAAAACTTTGGTGCTAAAAAACAAACAAACAAAAACACTTTGGTGCTGACTTGATGAAGACAAACAGTGACTGTAGTTCACCTCGGGCTGTGGTGTGACAGAGCTGGGAGAGAGAAAGAACTGAGATGGCAGAAAATCCAGAAGGCATGTCCCCCGACCTCTCTCCTTTTTCTGAAATTCTGGCCTAGTCATGCTTGTTAGTGTTCCCAAGCAACCTTAGTATCAGCTAATTGCTTCCATTTTTTTTTTTTTCTTGAAGTATTGTTTTCAGGTATTAACATAAAGGTTAACTTAGGGGGAAATGACATCTTTATGTTGTTAAGTCTTTCTGTTTTCTCATGCAAGAAATTGGTTTACCTTTCCATTTTGTTTGTCTTCTCCACCCAGGGCACATCCAGATGATTAAACATAAACAGAAAGTGTCTGAGGGCTGAAGTACCAAGAAGCACCAGTAGTGAAACTTCATGGCCAATGAGCTGATTTATGGAACAAGTCCATTGGATGCCCTGAAGTTAATGGGAGAGACAACGAGCTTTTTCACAGATTAGACTCAACAATGCACAATCTTCTTTTAAAAAGTGAAGAATTCTCCTTTCCAATGCCCTTTCTGGCCTTACCTCATAGGTTTTAGGGCTATTTTTATCCTGTTTGTAAAGCACCCTTAAAGTTATTCGTCAGCCTACTATCTCTTTCAATAGCTCTCCTACTCTGCATTTCTCTTCTTGAAAATGTAATGTTGTATTTTGTTTTCTCTTACAAAGAATCACCTCTACAACTACAAGTTTGTTCTCATTTTTCAGAAGTCCTAAAATTGTTATGTGACAAAACCAAAACAGTTTTCACATTCTATGACCTATTAATCCTGATCTTGGGATATGGTCCCAAAATAACTACTCAATAGAAGGAAAAAAAGGAAGAAAAAAACTGCATTTAAAAAGATATTTAACGGAAAATATTGGAAAATGTTCAGTGATAAGGTCAAATAAACTCATGCTGTATTTATAAGATGAAACATTACACAACTTTAAAGGAGAAAAGGGAAGACTTTTATAGAAACATTTTTAAATTGCTTATGATCAGTGAAAAATAAAGAATAGAAAAAATATAATGGTTATAATTACATAGCAATTATATTCATAAATGGAAATAATCAAATAATCAGAAGAGAACAGAGAGAGAAGAAGGGGCACAATTTCAATGGAGATGCTTTAATAATAGGCATGAATAAAAAAGATGCTCTCAGTGGCTCCCACCGAGCACTCGCTCTTCCTTCCAACCTTCCCAGCCCATTCCAGAATGTTATAAGAAAAAAAATGAATATTTTTGCATCAAATAATATTAAACTTTGTATTTGCTAAAGACTAAATGTGACTTTGTGACGGCTTCCCAACCACCACGCTAACCACTCCAAATGCCACTAGAATAGGATTCTTCTGTGGCTTCCCATAAACATTGCACAGGTGTTATTAAATAGAGGTGTTCTGATCATTTTAAAAGTGGCAACTTGATTTCCCAAAAGCAGGACCCCACCTCAGGCTTGAGAGGAGGTGGGGCGGGGGGGATGCAGCATAGCCCTTATTTATGTATTTAAACTTTTTTTACTAAAATGTTTTTTTACTAACCTGTCTTTAAGATTCATTCTTCCCAAATTTTGGCAGAAAAAGAAACTCAAACCACACCATAGATCAAAAGCATGGACAGACTGTACCAGTATGCTGAAGCTCAAACATAAATAGTTGGTTTGTCAAACCATAACCCTAACTTTTCTTTAAAAAAAATAAGTAAAGTACTTTAAATTGGAACAAAACCTACTTAATAACTAAAACATTCTATGAAAAGCAGGGATGCCTTATTCAAGTTCCTACACTTAAATCATAATTTTTTTCCTAACTACTTTCATATCTATTCTGTTATAGGTTATTTTTTAAAGCCTTACAATCACTCATCTACTGCCTGGGCTATATGAATTCTGAAAATCAGAAGACAATTTTGGGGTGTCACTGCACTACCGCCCCTCCTTCCTTAAGCACTGCCTCCTCCCTTCCGCGGGGGTTGGGCACAGCTTCCATGTTTGTCTCTATTATCAACCTCAGGCCACAGTTAATGGAACCAGGTTTTATGCCCTGGAGAACCCTGGCACATGTGTGCTGGGAGGCATGACACACGCGTTCGTTGGCACACTAAATATAATAGCAACAGACTTGAAAATGTTCTAAATGCCCATCGCCAGGAGACTATGTAACAAATTGTGGTATATTTATTCATACAGAAGAATATTACACAGCAGTTAAAGTGAAGGGACCAGATCTATATGTATCCACACAGTTATACCTCAAAAAACATAATTTGAGCAAAAACACAGGTTGTAGAAGAATAAAAGAAAAGCAAGGTGTAGTATAACACCACTTATTTGAAACTTAGAGTATGTAAACAATAGCATATTTTGTTTATAGATATGTAGAAAAGGATAAAGAAGTGCATGTAATGCTAAACACAGTAAACATGATACTAGTAGCTCTGGTGATTAAGGAAGGAAATTATTTATCTAGTGTGTTTTCCTTGAGCTGGGTATGTACATATGAATATTACATTCTGGATATTTTTTTCTAAGCAAAAAATATTTCGTAATTTTATAAGAAAAGAGAAGGAAAAATACACCAAAATATTTACAGTGGTCAATTCTAAGGGAAGGATTGTAGGTGAAATTCCTTTACTTTTTAAAAGTTTCCCCCAATTGTCTATTATGACATGACAGAAAAAAATGTTGATATATAAGAAGGAAGTCTGAAAAATTCTCTAATCAGACACAGCACAAAACTTTTTCTTCTGTAATGAGGAATTATACTTATTTTATATATGTATTTTTTTCATATATAAATACATATATACTATATAGATGGAGTATATACTGCATATACTATATAGATACAAACATACAAAACATTGACTAAACTCTTTACTAAGGTGTAAATGATTGATACATGACTTAGGAATAACTGCAGGTAGAAAAAGAACAGGAGTAAGAGAGCATTGAGTGCCTGAAAAGACCCTGAGTATGTGTGTGTATTCAGGGGTGGGGGCGGGGAATGTAGGAGTTAAAGTGAAAAGGAAAATCAGAAACAACTGTCACAGTTAGGAGGAAACTGGACCCAAGACAAAGGGTACGCTGCTACCTGTGACCGGCAAGCCCAGCGGCCCTATCTCATCAGGCAGAGCCTTGTATTCTATGCAGCCGTGGACAATAACAGCCATGTTCCCAGGACGGGGCTGCTTTGCAGTGAGGAAATGGAAGCCTGGGTTTGCTGGGATGCTGTCCCTTACCTACCAGGACAAGGACAGACTGGTTTGTGACAGCTCCTCCTGCAGCCCAGCTTGCTGAAGCCTGTGGCACCTCACTGGGCTCTGCTTCTCTGGGATTCTTTGGCATAACCATCTCTTCTACACAATCACTGTAAACAGAAGCACTTGACTTTTAATTAATGGAAGTGGATGTGTTTCTTTCATACATAGAGAAGCAAAAGATGGATTTATGTTTTTTGCTCACACACAGGGACAACTTAATTTAATGGAACTGAAGGGGGCCGAGGGAAGGTCTTAGCAAGACCCATCTGGCCCAACTCCTATTTAGCACGGATCACTTCCCACGCATGACAGAGATGCTAATCGTGAGCGTTATTTCCCAACACCATAGGATGTAGTGTAATTACAATGTTCATAAAAGAATTCCAAACAGGGCTCTGTTTAGAACTCAATGAGACATAATGAGAAATCTCTATGGCAGAGGACAACATTTTTCTTTCAATTAATGGGACACTTGCTCAGAGTCATCCCCAAAACTATTAGGCGCTGATTAGAGAGATTTATAGCCTCTGAAGGACCAAACACAAACATTTTTCAACTAGAAAGTACTGTAAAACTATCTCATTTGAGGACATCTAGGAGGACATTTATTTAAGTGACATGTGAGAAGATAGAAGAATTTTCTAGAACACTTCCTATTCAGACCTGAAAGTCAGATTGCCCAAATGCAGATCTCATTAGGCCATTTTATGGAGTTTCATTCATTCCTTTTCTCCATCAGTCATTCGTTCTTAAAAATGATCCAACAGATATTTATGAGACATCATGAGTGAGGTATAGTGCTTGGCTGTGTTAAAACGTAATGATGAATCAGAAGGGTGACTTTTCTGTATCAGGACTCTGCACGTTTGAAAGAAAACAGATGTGAAGTTAGAAATCCTTAATTCAAGTTCGTACTTTTTCCATTGCTTGGTACATGACTTTGGGCAAATCATTTAACCTTCTGAGCCTCAAAGTCCTCAAAATGAAGATTAGAATGCCCACCTTTTAAATCTCATAGAATTGCTCTGAGTAAAATGATGTATACAAAATCTGACCATAAAGTGCTATATAAATCAATAGCAAGAGGCTATTGATATTAAGTCACTTACTGTCCAGGAGAGGAGATTTAAAGCACACAGTATAAGGCAAAAAGCCAATGCTATCATGGCAGAGGACAAGAATTTATTGGTTCAAAATATCTATTGAGTCATAATATGGCCCAGATGATGTGCTCAGATGAAGTACACAGGAATTCAGAAGAGATCAAATTATCTGCTTGTTCTTTAAATGCTCCCCACCAAAACTATTCCCCAGATCTTACAGTCCCCCTGCAATTATCAGTGTGCCTCTCATTCTTTCCAACTATTACAAAACTCATCCTGCACAGTTTGATTTCTTTCCATTACAAGGGTCTGCCCTTGCTCTGAAAACAATCTTGTTGCAGCCTCTCCCTGCCCCTCCTCCCTCCTTCTCTCACTTGAAGAAGAGAAGGTGAGCAGATGGACTACCTTTAAAGCCACACAATCCTGCCTGGACTCTTCCTCTTCTAAGCTGGGTGACCCGGAAAAGGTGTCTGACATTTCTGTGTCTCAGTGATCTCCTCTGTACAGCAGGGGAAATTATACTGACCTTGCAGTGTCCTGCAGGATGGGAGCAGCTTATGGAAAGCTTCTGACATATTGAACATGCTCAGCCATTGCAGCTATTATTATTGTAATGAAGGCCATTTTAATCCATTCATGGAATGACTAAGGTTTTGACAGAGGATTTGATTCTACTGAGTCATAGATATTTTCTTTTTTCATTTATTGATTTGTGAGAAGAAAAATGAAAGTGGTTAAATTTTTTCAGTAGGCTTCAAGCCAACTATTCAAAAGACACAGACAGAAGAACATGGCCTCATAGGCAGAGCACTTGCTGCTGCTTACAATCACAGAGCTAGAGCCCTCTTCTCTTTCTAACCTGTTTTTAGCCTCAGTTTTTTCTCGATTATTTTCCATATGGCCTTGTTTATATTTCTTCCACCAAAGGCAAGGGTACCACTTTTTGGTTTGGCCTATCTAGTTTCGAAAACTCAGCTTACGATTATATCTTACTTTTAAGCACATAACGGAGTAGAAGTGGCAAGTCATCCAATTGCTAAAAACAAAAACACAAACGAAACACATTGTGCTGGCAGAGACTCTCCTTCACCTGGTGGGTGCACAATTGGAAACAAGAAGGTGGGTAAGAAGTGTTCCACAGTCCAGCAAGATGAGCTGTAAAGTGCAACGCGTTTATGCTTTCTCACGACTTTCTCTTTAAGTCAAGAGGAGTGCTGCCCTTGGCGATCCCACAGAGGCTGGAGAGAGAGAAGATTTGAGCCAATTCTCATCCAGTCAAGATTCAGGATCACGAGTTCAATTATTGTCCTTGGCCATTCAGCAGAGAAACTTTCATATCGTGGCAGAGGACAAGAATTTGATCTGACAAGTCTAAAAGCTTTCATATAAGTTAATACAAATTGGAAGTAGGGAGCCACTTAAAAATAGCTTTGGACTAAAGGTTTTCTCCTTGACAGGTATTCTTGTTTCCTCACATTTCTGAAAATGTCCAGAAAGTGGATATCTGAAAGCTCTGCCCGATCACTTCTCCATGCAGTAGTGAATGGGTTTATTTTTTTACTTTCATTTTAGTAGAGAAATTTTATTTACCATTCTGAGGCTCCATGTGACACTTTGGGTCCTCCGACACGCACATGCCACCCAGAATAAAACATGCAGAAGGGAAAGGTTTGTGAAGGGTACAGGAGATGGGGTGCAGGAGTGGGCAGGGCAAGCCTTCAGACCCCCTTTGCAGGAATGATAGCTGAGCAAGTAGAGGGGAGCAAGGAGAACTGGGCAGGAGGAAGTTTAGACTTCAGCAAAACTCTGATAAAGTCTCAGCCAGGCCAACAGGGGGCCCCAGTGCCAAGATGGCCCGTTGGAGGAGTTCCACACTGGGCAAGTATGGCCCGGCTCTACTCTCCTTATGTGCTTGGCCACT